AGAAGGATGCGGCAGGCTTTCCTTCGTGTGGGTGTCACACACGTGCACACACGCCACGGCCATTCTGTTTCAGATCCCACTGAGAATGAAGGCCGGTGGAGAGTGGATATGAATGCAACGTTCTTCCTTTGGAGACGGAGTAGGAAACATAGCGGAATTTATGGCGGCACTTCCAATCTTATTTTCTCTCAACTTGCTGAGTAAATTCAGCCATCTTTCTGCCTGAAAATTGGATATTATCACCCAACTCAAGCCCTGGGGTTCGCAAGAGACTGGGAAGTTCTCAGCGGCAAGCGGTGGTCGGAGAAGCAGGGGATAAGCCGGCCAAACTCCTCTGGGTTGCAATTTTCAGTATGCATTTATTTCAAAGGTGAATCCGGTACATTTTATTGAGCCAAAAAGCAAGAAAGTGCTAGAAATCCAATAGCGACATGTCAAAAAGACCCAGGATCCAGCTTGAGGAAGCTCCACGGGCCGATTATAGGTTACTACAGAGCATCAAAGTGAAGAATGACAGGGATAGATGGAAACACACTGAATAAGAAAAATAATCCATTGGTTCATACTGATGCTAAATTATTTTAAAGGAAGGTGAGAAAGGGAAGATCCTTTTTATAAAAGAATGACAAATTGGGCATGCAAACTGGTGCAGCCACTCTGGAAAACAGTATGGAGGTTCCTCAAAAAACTAAAAGTAGAACTACCCTACGACCCAGCAATGGCACTACTAGGCATTTATCCAAGGGATACAGGTGTGCTGTTTCGAAGGGACACATGCACCCCAATGTTTATAGCAGCACCATCAACAATAGCCAAAGTATGAAAAGAGCCCAAATGTCCATCGATGGATGAATGGATAAAGATGTGGTACATATATATACAACGGAGTATTACTCGGTCATCAAAAACAATGAAATCTTGCCATCTGCAACTACGCGGATGGAACTGGAGGGTATTATGCTAAGTGAAATTAGAGAAAGACAAATATCATATGACTTCACTCATAGGAGGACTTTAAGAGACAAAACAGATGACCATAAGGGAAGGGAAACAAAAATAATATCAAAAGGGGGGGGGACAAGACAGAAGAGACTCATAAATATGGAGAACAAACTGAGGGTTACGGGAGGGGTTGTGGGAGGGGGGAGGGGCTAAATGGGGAAGGGGCACTAAGGAATCTACTCCTGAAATCATTGTTGCACTAGATGCCAACTAATTTAAAAATTAAAAAAAAAAAGATTACTCCCCCCCCACCAAAATGACAAATAAAAGTACAAGGAAAGATAGAAGTAGAAAAGCTGCTTATCACAACCACAAAGGTAGTAACTGATTCAGGTTAGACTCCTCAGTGGATACTCAACCACCGAGCGAGAGATTTCTGGGAAGGAGAAGAGTCACAGTTTCGAGTTATCCCTCAAAGGGAAGGGGCGCCTGGGTGGCTCAGTCGGTTGAGCGTCCGACTTCGGCTTGGGTCATGATCTTGCAGTTGGCTGAATTACGAGCCCGCACTGTGGCTGTCTGAACAGGCTGCGCTGAGCCTGGAGCCCGCTTCTGATTCTGTATCTCCCTCTCTCTCTGCCTCTCCCCTGCTCATGCTGTCTCTCTCTGTCTCAAAAATAAAGATAAACATTAAACACACACACACACACACACACACACACACACACACACACACACACACACAAAACAAACAAAAAAACAAAGGGAAAAGGATACCTCCAGACTTGATCAGGTGGAGAAATTCTTGGTGCAATATCACCTTGATTCAGTCTGATCAAACGTAACCTCACCAATAATGGGGCAAAGTGACAGGAAGTGTCTTCAAGTATGAAGCACGAAGGACTCACATCTGGGTAATTCTTAGCCAGAAGGTTTAACCTGAATCTAATCAGGAGGATGTAACTGGACAGATCTACCCTAGGGGACATTCTGCAAAACTGGCTGAGCTCTTAGAAATGCTCAACGCCAAGGAAAGGTAGCAAGAAACAATGAGGGATAGTTCTAGATTTCAGGAGTCTAAAGAGTCATGACAACCACATTTCATGTGTGGTCCCTGATGAGATCTTGTATCAAACAATAATAAAAATGGCCACAAAGGACATAATTGGGACAGAGGTATCAATGTGTAATTTTTCATTCTTTTTTTTTTTTAATTTAAAATTTTTCTTTTGAGGTGGGGGGGTAGAGGGGTAAGAGGGAGAGAGAAAGAGAATCTCAACCATGCTCAGCACAGAGCCTGATGCGGGGCTCGATCCCTTGACCCTGGGATCATGACCTGAGCCCAAATCAAGAGTCGGACACTCAACTGACCGAGCCACCCAGGCGCCCCTCGCTGTGAAATTTTCTGAGTGTGAAAATTGCACTGTGATTCTATAGGGCAATGCCTTATTCTTGGGAAATTCTACTTAGGGGTGAAGTGACATGATGTCTACAACTAATTCTTCTGCTTTCCTTTTTTTTTTTTTTTTAAGTTTATTTATTTATTTTGAGAGGGAAGGGAGGGGCAGAGAGAGAGGGAGACAGAATCCCAAGCAGGCTCCACACTGTCAGTGCAGAGTCTGAGGCGGGGCTCACTCGAACTCACAAACCGTGAGCCCAAATCAAGAGTCGGACGCTCAACTGACTGAGCCACCCCGGCGCCCGGAGAAGAGACCTTTCTTATGGGCACAGCACATATTTGATTAGAACAAAATCCCGACCGACTTGTACTTGGGCACCCGGTGGCTGCCGTGCCGTCACGGCCAGCCTTCCTGGGTGAGGAGGCAAGGGGATGAGTTTCCCCCCCGGACACGTGTTTGCGTCCCCCTGAAATTTCCACCCAACCAAAACTCTGAAACAGAACACAGCTCACCCACAGACAACGTAAAAGCCGGAGCCGACCCCCGTGCAGTCAAAAATCCACGCGTGACTTCTGACTCCCCACGCCCCTCCAACTGAACTACTAAGACCTACGTTGACCGGAAGCCTTCCCGATAGCATTAACCGTCAATTCTCACGTTATTTTGTACACTATATGTATCACATACTGTAGTCTTCCAGGAAAGTAAGCCAGAGAAAAGAAAATGTTATTACGAACACGGTACGAGAGAGAAAATACATTTACAGTGCTGTGTGCACTGTATTTATCAAAAACACCCGCATGTTAGTGGACCCGTGTGGCTCAGCCCATGCTGTTCGAGGCTCAACGGTATTTGCATTCCCTTCTCTGCTTTGTTTTCTAGAACCTGCAAAGCACACTTAGTAGAGGCTGCTTGGGATGCATATTAAGGAAGCCACGGTCACAGTCCTTCCTCAGCGAGAGGCTGGACGTAAAGAATTTCCAGCCCTGGAACTGGACGACTTCTATTTGAAGCCCAGCTCAACCATCTGACCTTGGGGGAAGTGTTTAATGTCTCTGAGCCCCAGTCTGCCCATCTGTCGAATGGGAAAAATAACCGAACGTTCTCAAAGGATGGCTGGCAGGATTGAATGAGATAATCACACAGGGCGCACATAACGCCTGCCAGGTAGTTAATTCCTTTTCATTGCCAGTGATTCCGATGATCGTTACCATCATCAATAGCTGGGGCCCCGACCACTACCTGGACGCCTCCAAGACAAAGAGCTGTTTTCAGAGGAAGCCCGTTGCATCCATGGGCAAGTCTGATCCTTAAGCTGATCCTTAGCAGCTGTCCCTGTGTACTGTCCACACTGGCAGCCTAGCAGTCCCAACCCTCCTCCTCCTTCCAGAAGAAGTCAGGGGGCAGGCTGGGAGGCCACTTACAAAACTGCCCCAGGGAGCCAGGTAGCAGCCAGGAGCGCTCTGGGTCCCCGGGTGCAAACCGCCACAGAGGCTGCTCGGGGGGACACCCCTGGTCTCCCTTGTGGGCTCCCTGGAGACCCAACGCCCAGAGCGGCCAGCACTGGAAGGCCCCCTGCTTCCTTGGCCTCTCACCATCCGGAGGGGAATGTGGTCCTCCTGTCCCGGACCCTCCAGCTCCCTCCTCTGACAAAGTGGCCACGTCCACCAGCCGATCCAGTCCAGGGTTGGGGCAGAAGGGATGCGGAGGGGGCAGGGTGGGGGGTTGTCGCCCTGAACTCTGGCCTCCCTGCTCGGCAAAGAAAAGGACGGTTCTCTGGAAAGGACAGATCCGCCAGTAATTAAGTACCGTCCTGTTATTTGCATTCTGGTCCCTGGCGGCAGATCTGTATCAACATCCCCAGGGCAAGACAATCTTGTTTCCCCAACAAAACCGATTATGCACATCAGGCCTGGGGATTAATCACCAGCCACAGGGGTGGGGAGGCGGTGAAAGCAGGTGGAGATGCCGGAGGGAGGAGGGAGGGATTGCCAGGAGGAAAGGCCGGAGGCCAGGCCGGGCTTGGGGGGCCCAGCCGCCCGTTGCTCATGCTTCTGGCGACAATGCCCCTTCACTAAGACCCTGTGCCCCTCCCTCCTCTCCGTTCTCCCTATTTGGCAGTGTCCTGGGGAGGGAAGGGCCAGTCCAGAGCTCAGGGCACGGGCACAAACATGGAGTAGGGACAAGCCCAAAAGCCTTGGGCAGGCCACTTCCGTGCCCCCAAATACAAGATGTCCTTCCCTTACTGATCCCGGGTTGCTACATGCCCCACCTGTGTGTCGGGTCCAAGCCCCCCCAGTGCTCCCCGGAGATAGCAGAGTTCTCCTGGGGGCTGGGGAGCAGGGGCTGGTCACAGTCATGACCACAGCCCAGCTGCTGGGAGTAAGCTCCCCGACCTCAATCCTTGTTGCATGAGCCACTCCGTCTGGCCCCCTGCCTAGACATCCTCCATTGGGCTCAGCAAGGCAGGGTCCTCATACTCCTGGGGCAGGGCTGTCTTCCCCCCTCCACCCGGACTTCCGCCACCCCAGCCTCCCAGTAGCACTGGTGTGGGAACCCCTGTCCCCCAAATGGCCACGCGGGCCCCCCACCCCAGTTCCCCTTCAGGGCACAGCAGGGGCTCTGGCAGCCAGGAGGGAGGGGAGGGGAGGGGAGGCTTGCCTGTACTCCAGCGAGAACTTGGTCAGCTCCCTGCTGTTGTGGAGCCACTTGAATTCCAGCGGCCAGCTGCCCTCGGCCATGCACGTGAGCACCAGGCGGTTCCCCTCCAAGTGCACCTGCGTTCGCACCGGCTCCGTCTTGAAATAGGGGGCCACATCATCTGTGGTAAACAGAGACACAAAGCCACCAGTTAGCAGTGCTCACCTTCAGGTGGTTGCTCACGTGGTGCCCTAGCGCCCTGGGCAGACAGAGCAGGTGCAGCCAGCTAACTTGCTCAAGGTCACGTGGCCGGGAAGGACTTGAACTTGGGTCGGTCTGACTTCGGAGCTTGATTTTCAGAGGGAGTCCTCTACCCCTACCAACCAGTTCTCGGCCTCCCTCCTCCCAGACCGCTCCAGGCTCACGGCCTCTGCTGCCACCGCCCTGTTCTGGTGCTTTCTGTCGCTCTCCCCTCGAGATCCCCATCCACTGGACACCCTGTGATTCTGGGGGCACTTACTGCCCTTTGGTCAAAGGGAATATAAATGTCACAAGGAAACCGGGGGAGGGGTGGGTTGATACAAGTGTCAGGTGGCAGGGACGTCCCGAGTCCTGCCCCTAAGGCTGGGAGAGCCCGTCAAAAGCATCATGGGCAGAGTCCATCCGGCGGGCCCTCTCCACCGCCAGGTTGTTTGACCCTTCTGTCCTCTTACCCTCAGATTTGGCCAGAATTAGGTGTCTGTGGTCTGCAGGCGGGTTCACATTCACGTCAAGGCCTCACCCTGGGTTCAAGTGCAGACCGACCACTCAGAGCACCAGCGATACACGTCTGGGGCCGGGTCAACTGGCATCATGCCCCCACCCCACACCCCAGGTCTGAATCTCATGAGGGCATAGCTTGTGATTACTGGGGGGGGGGCCCTCCTTGAACCTCAATCCTGCTACCAGCTCTCTTTGTGGGGGCCGCTGGAGGGCAAGCCTGGGTGTGTGTGGAGGGAGAGCCAGGGCAGGCAGGTGCTGAGCCCCTCCCCCCCCCCCATCTCTGCATCACTCCCGACAAGCATCCTGCAGCTTACCGCCTTCCAAAGCCCTTCAGGAGGTCCTCTTTTGGGGGAGTGTGCTGGGGGAGTGGCACCCACCCCTGGTCCCCTGGTCCCCTGGTCCCCCGCCCACCTCAGGTGGCAGCAGAGGGGAGAGAGGCGAGCAGGCACCCATTTGCCCGCAGCCCACTCTGCTGAGGCAGCGGCTCTGCCTCTGTTTGACAAATGGGCACATTCGCACTTCAAAGGCACATTCCTATTCCCCAGCAGCGTTTGAGAGCCCTTTGAATTGCGTTTTTAAAAACCCTCTGTTAGTTCCTGTCATCACTCGTTTGTTTTAAAACAATAACACTCCTAGTGATTCAATCCCTCCGATGCGATGCGGGGCTGATTCAGAGCCAGAACATCAGAGGGGGCGGGCGGGGCGGGCGCTTGCACACTCGCTCGTGCACACGTGTGCACACGCGCTCTGCACTCAGACCCCCTCACCTCCGTAACCCAGTTCACTGGGCAACCTGTTATCACGTCCGCCTGTTCCAGTTCAGTGCTCGGGCTCTCCAGGGCGCCTGCCTGGAGCCCAGCAACAGGAGCTGGGGTGGGCTGATTCCAGCGGCTGCCCTGCCCGAGATAATGACTCTGGGAAGAGGAGGGCGGGGCTGCCCTTTCCTGAGAACCTGCTGGGTACCACCGAGCCCCGAGCATCCCTGCATCCCCCAGCCCTAGTTATCCTTCCCAGGAAGCTTGGGAGGAACTGAGGCTCCTCTCCCCAGCCCCTGCGGTGTGGTCCGCCCTCCCCCTGCCATCCGATACAAGGATTTGGCGGGGGGAGGCCCTACCCAGCACTGAGCAATGTCAGGAGTGCAGCCAGCTGGTTTCCCTTGATAGGCCTGCCATCTTCCAAAAGCAGGGGATGGCGGGGCGACTGGCAGTGCGGCAGTAGGGGGGAGGCACCCACAGGGAAAGGATGCTGGGGTGGGGGGCGGGGGGGCCAGCCAGGTGTGCACGTGCACCCGTGTGCATTGTCTATGGGTCCTTGAGTCTCCGTGTGTGTCTGTGTGTGTATGTAGGTGTGTGCTCTTATGTGTGTATCTACGTGTTTGTGTGTTCAAGTGTGTGTCTGGGCACATGTATACGTGCGTTGACGTGCAGAGAGAGATGTCTGTGCCGTGAATGCACCAGTCGTGGACCCTGGGGAGCTTACTTATAACCTTTTTGCATTTCAATCTCCTAGCTGTAAACTGGGGGATACGTTTGTTATATCAAATGAATTAAAAAACGTAAAGAGGTTAGAAACGGTGCCTGGCACACGCTTTAGGCACATGCTTTACTATTAAGCGTGTGGGCAGATGGGCAGACTACAGGAGGGAAGAGCTCATGCCCTGTTGGCAGGCACCAGCAGCACCTTTCACAGTCTAAGAGCTTGGATTGTGCAGTTTACTACTTGTGCAACTGTGCACAACAGCCTTGTTAGCCACTTTCTCAGTGGGAAGGAGCTGAGAAAGGAGGAGAAAGAAATTTGAATTCTTGAATACTGAAAGAATCAATATTATACGGGTGTCATTCCCTTAAACTTTTCCTCACTTGGAAAACACACGCACACACACACACACACATACACACTACAGGTTTTTTAACTAGACAAAGTGAATCTAAAGTTCACACTTAAAAAAATGACAAAAGAGGGGCACCTGGGTGGTTCAGTCGGTTAAGTGGCCGGCCGACTTCGGCTCGGGTCACGATCTCGCGGTCCGTGAGTTCGAGCCCCGTGTTGGGCTCTGTGCTGACAGCTCAGAGCCTGGAGCCTGTTTCAGATTCTGTGTCTCCCTCTCTCTGACCCTCCCCCGTTCATGCTTTGTCTCTCTCTGTCTCAAAAATAAATTAAAAAAAAACGTTAAAAAATTTTTAAAAATGACAAAAGAATACCTAAGAAATTCTGTAAAAGTGTAATAGGTGAAAGAGACAAGCCCAGATACCGAACTGTATTATAAAGTTGCAATAATTAAAACAGTGTGTTCTTGCACCAATAATCTGATGAAATGACAGACTCAGAATCTAGAAATAGACCTCAGTACATATGGGATCATTTAATATATGATGAAAGTAGAATTTCAAGTCGGTGGGAAAAGATCAATTATTCACCAAATGGCTTTGGAACAGCTAGGGAGACATTTGGGGCGGGGGGTGTAGGGGGGTGGGGAATAAAGTTGAATCTCTTCCTCACGTTTCCTCAAAATAAATGCTAGATGGATGCATCAGTGTTTTAAGCGAGAAAAATGAAATTCTAAAGGGAGTAGACGAAAGTCACAGAGGTTTAAAAATATATAATCTTCAGGAGGTGATGCAGTATTAGACAAAGTCCAGGAAGTCATAGAACAGATTGATAACTTCAGCTATATAAAAATTCTGCACGGAAAAAAAAAATACCCATAAACAAAAAGGCAACAAATGACAAACTCGGGGAAAATATTTGCAACTTCTATCATGGACAAAGAGCTCATTTTCCCAGTATAAAAAATATTCCCATAAATCAGGAAGAAAAAGATGAACTAACCAACTGGACAAAGGATCTGAACAGTTCACAGAAAAGAATTACAAATAACTCTGAAACACAGACAAAGATGCTGAACCGCCTGATAAGAGAAAGGCAAATAAAACTCAGTAAGATACCGCTTTTTCCTATCCCTTGGGCCACGATCCGAAAGCACGATAGGGCCCCGTGCTGGCCAGCCCGCAGGGACCCAGGCGAGCGCACACACAGCTATGTGGGGTTGTAGCTTGGGACCATATCTACAGAGAGTAGTCTGGAGATTCCATCGAAACTAAAAATGAATGCCTTCCCCCTCCCTGCCGCCCCCCCCCCCC